TGAGACAGGGTTTCTCGGTGTTGCTTTGTGCCTTTCCTGGAACTCACTCTGTAGCCCAGGCTGGCCTCGAACTCACAGAGATCCACCTGGCTCTGCCTCCTTGGGTGCTGGGATTAAAGGTGTGTGGCACCACCGGCCGGCACATGTGCTTTTCTTTAGACTGTGCATGCGTATGTACTTTTCTTTAAAGAGTGTATGTGCATGCATGAGTTTATGTGCATGTGACTGCACTCGTGTGTGTGTGTGTGTGTGTGTGTGTGTGTGTTTGTAACATAGCAGGGGTCTGGAGAACAGAAGACATCTTGCAGGAGTTTGTTCTCTCCTCCTATTAAGTGATTTTGAGGGATCCAACTCAAGTAGTCAGGCTACCTCACTAGCCTGTTTCCAAAAAAAAAAAAAAGAAAGAAAATCTTATGTTAAATAACAGATTTCCCAGAGGTTAATTTCTCAGAAGGTGTGGCATTGTAATGAGATTACACAGGTCACAGTAAGTTTTGTGTATCAAGGAGGTTGTAGGAAGAGGAAGGTTTCAGTGAGAATAAGTGAGATGCTCACATAGGCTGCTGGATACATATCTGTGACCTTAGAGACCGGAGGCTGGAGGTAGCTCCAGATTCTTGGTGGAGGTACCACTTCTGGATATGTGCTCTGTCAGAGCATCTCATCTGAATTGCTTCCATCTCAAAGAACGTTAGAGATCAACTTTGTTACTGAAATCCATGCTGCCGAAAGGCAGGGCAAGTAGATCATGAAGGAACTTCTTGTGGCTTTTAAAGTCCTTGAGATGAGCACTGTCTCAGACAGGCAGGCATGAGCTCCTCCCCCTTCATGAATTCCTGGCTCCAGCTTTGTCTGGGTCTGAGAAGAAAGGTTTTGTCTCATCATCAGCAGGTTTTACAACCTTGTACCTCTGCATTCCACAAGGAAGCTGGTGTGGGCGAGTTCTTGCTGCCTTGATCCTTACACTGTTCCCACCGCTGTCAACACGGATGCAGACCCTGCTCCTTACCTCCCCCATTTCTGTAGGTTGTTCCTAATGATGTGGTCTGACTTCTGCAGCCAAATGTCCTTCCTTCTTCTTTCACCGGATGCTCTCCTGCTTTGGGTAGCCATTGCTTCTAATTGTTTTTTGTTTGTTTTCTTTTTTGAGACAGGGTTTCTCTGTGGAGCTCTGGCTGTCCTGGAACTCACTCTGTAGACCAGGTTGGCTTGGAACTCATAGAGATCCACCTGCTTCTGACTCCTGAGTGCTGGGATCAAAGGCGTGCGCCGCCGCCACCACCCCTGTTGTTTGTGTTTTTATTTTTCCAGTTGCTGAAATAAAATTTTGAAGAAATATTTTTTAAAGATTGCTTTTATTTTGAGTCATTTCAAGAAGAAACAAGTAAAGACTTTTCAAGGCAGGAGAACTTATTTTCTAACAGTAAGTAAGATGGTCACACAATCTATTGGATACTTTCTAGCTCTGTGTGTAAATAAAAATCATGGCTGTAAAGACTTTAAATGTTTCATATGAGTTGCTAGAGGGCTAAAGAAAGGTGATTTGTTTTTTCCTTTTTTTTTGAGACAGGGTTTCTCTGTGTAGCTTTGCGCCTTTCCTGGAACTCACTTGGTAGCCCAGGCTGGCCTCAAACTCACAGAGATCTGCCTGCTTCTGCCTCCCGAGTGCTGGGATTAAAGCGTGTGCCACCAC